TAAATTATAATGTATTCATATGACTATTACCCAGCTGTTGGAAAGTTAGATCAATACGTACTGGTACGACAGCATGTCCATAAAACATTAATGGAAAAAACAAGTTACAGAACACTGTAGTGTGCTCTCTACTGTTGATTTAAAAAAAATTACAGACACATCTCTGACGCATCCATGTGTGCATTTGCACATACCTACGAGATATGACAGATACAGACTAAATTCATGATAGTGACCACTCATGACAACTAAGTTTTTGTTTTAATATTATAAAAGGTCATATAATATGGGAAGATGATAGATTATTAAGTAAAATAAGGCAGGTTCCACATGTTCACATTATTCCCATTTTGTGTAAAATCTTTAATACTACATGTGTGTTTTTATGTGCAATATAAAAGAGAACATATACTAGATGGGTATAAACATTGGTTTTATCTGGGCAGATGCAATATTGTGTGTTTTATTTTTCTGTATGTACAAACATTCTTTTATAATAATAAAAAAATTTTTCCCAAGTCTTTCTTCCTCTCCTCTGGCCTAAGAAATGTTCAAGAGAGCATCATCTATTTCTTGGCCTTTTTATAGCAAGATTTAAGCCACGTGGTCTGAAACACCTTCCTAGTCTTCCATCAACAACACTGTCCTATCTTGACTCCCTTCCTATTGCACTGGTTTTCATACTTCAGTACACACAAGGACCAGCTTATTTCTAACATCTTCCCCTACCCACCCACCCCCACCCAAAAGATTCAGATTCAGGTCTACATGGGAACCAGAAATCTTTATTTTTAACAAGTATCCTATTATTCCTGATTGAAAAACAATTATATGTCTCTCTAGTCATTACATTAGTCACCTTTCCTAAATCCTTTCACAATTTGTTACTCAAATACCAGTATTTTCTAACTTCCAATCTTGTCCTCTTTGGTATTCATTCTATTTAGTTTTCCAAGGATATCTTATCTCTACCATTGGTTTTTACTATGCAAGTAATTCCCTAATATGTATGTATATCTTCAGAACACTTCTTGCACTTTAGTTTCAGTTCCTTATGTTCAATTTTCTGTTAGGTACTTCTGACTAAATATGCCAATTACTCCAAAATTAGTATATTCAAAAACCGAATCAAATTTTCTCTCTAAACAATCACCACCTGCATTTTCTGAGTCAGTAAACCAATTGAGCCAGTAAGCCAAGCTAGAAACCAACCTTTCCCTCAATCCCTACAGACTACCACATCTAGTAAACACTAAGTCCTGACGCTCCTCCACCTCACTGTCCCTCAGATCTACCCTTTCTTGCATCAGCTGCACTGCTGTCTCTTCATGCATCAGTTCAAGGGCTCCCTCCCTGAGGAAGGCTTGGCTCATTTCCTTGCCCAAACAGTAGCCACCATCATGCTCCCAAAGTGGTCCATTCTCTACCCCTCTGGTGCCACTGCTTGCATGCTTCCCTCTTAGTTTGAAGTCCTTGAGGACAAGTGTTTTAGTAGATACGCATTCTAACACAGTAACCATTCAAACATCTGCTCAATTAATAGTAAACCATCTTAAAGGGCAAAGTATTCTTTTAAATTTTTAAATGGATACATTTAATGTATTTAAGAAAATACAATTAAGACTTTACAATAATTTCTAATTTTATAATACTTGGAAAATATTTACAATAAATACTCCAGTATACATTCTGAGAAATCCCAAATGGCCAAGTGTTAAAAATTAATATTCTGTTGAATGTAACTACAACAAAACAAGATAAAATATATAGAACATCTGTTTTTCAAACATTAGACAGCAAGCAATGCGGGACTAGATCTGGCTACTTCCAAGTCACAACACAAGGAGAGGAAAGCCAAACAGTCTGGCAGTCTCGCCTAGCGCAGAGACGGAGATCAGAGTTTGGGGAGGCCAAGGTGTCTAGAATTTGTAGGACAGAGCAGTGGAGGGAGAGCTCAGAAAGAGTGAGAGCTTTAGAAATGTGCAGATGAGTACCTCTAGAGTCCTTGGCTCAATACTGACCTGTGCCAAGTAACTGAGGTTGGGAAAATAACTACCAAAGATCAGTAGGCCCAACAATACCTGAAGTCAGACAGGCCTTGGAATAATTTGCACTCTCACCAACCAGAGTGAAAAAACTTTGCAATATATTGGGCAATGGATGAACTTCTCCGGAACAAATTGTGTTACTTGGGGGACTAAGTCAGCAGTACACTAAATGCTGTTTGGGACCTACCCTAACTAACAAAGCTTTACCCTAACTATGGACCCCAACTAGATCCAACACTCAGGAATACAACAAAATCAAGCAAGCAACAGCATGAAACTTACTGCCTGGCATGCAATAAAAAATTACCAGGTATGCAAAGGAGGAGAAAAATCTGATCCATATCCAGGAGAAAAAAGTCAATAGAATAAGTGTATACCAGAAATGACAGAATGATGGAATGAACAGAAAAGACATTAAAACTATACTATACATGTGTTCCATATATTGAATAGAAAGAGAAAAACATGATCATAAGGAGAGAAATACAAGATTTAAGAGACCCCAATTAAAATTCTAGAGATGAGCCCTGGCTGGTTTGGCTCAGCGGTTAGAGCGTCGGCCTGCGGTCCAGAGAGACCCAGGTTCAGTTCCTGCTGGGGATAAGTATCTCGGCTGCAGTGTGTCCCCAGACCTGGTTGGGTGGTGCAGGTGGCAGCCACTCAATGTGTACCTTTCACGTAGATGTTTCTCTTTCTTCCTCTCTCTCCCTCCTACTCTATCTGAACAAAAAATGAAAGAGTGTCCTCGGGTGAGGATAAAAAAAATAAAATAAAATTCTAGAGATGAGAAAATATACTAAATGAAAAACACACTGGATGCAATTAACATAAGACTAAACACAGCAATAGACACTATCCAAAATGAAGCAGAGAGAGAAGAAACAAACACAAACAACAATAACAAAAAAAGTATCAGTGAGTCACTCCAACTGTTAATTGCAGTTCCAAAGGGGGGGAGGAGACAAAATAACACAGAATTTCCCAAATTTGATGAAAACCCATCAAATGACTGATCCTAGGAAGATCAATAAACCCTAAGAAGAATAAACATAAATAAAACCACACCAACACACATCATTATTAAATTGCTGAAAACCAGTGATAAAGAGGAAAATTTTAAAAGCAACCAACGGAAAAAAGTACACATTACATACAGAGAAACAAGGAAGAACAGAAGACTTATCACGAACTATGTAAGCCATAAAATAAGACAAAAGAGCAGTATCAGTAAAGTAATGAAAGGGAAAAAATGTCAACTTGATAAAAATACCCATACACAAAGAAAATATCTTTCAAAATTAAGGCAAAATAAATTTATTCAAACTAAAAAATGTTGTGAGAATTCATCACCAGAACCATCATCAGAATACACAACTGTTCAAAGAAATTCTTCAGACAAAAGAAAATACCAGATGAAAATTTGGAACTAAATGAAGGAATACAGTGCCCAAAATGGTAAATATGACGGTAATATAAAAGATATTTTCTCCTTTTTTAAAATCCCCTTTAAAAATAAATAATTAAGCCCGGTCAGTGTGGCTCAGCGGTTGAGCATCAACCCATGAACCAAGAGGTCGCTGGCTGGATACCTGGTCAGGGCACATGCCCAGGTTGTGGGCCCAATCCCCAGTTGGGAGCATGCAAGAGGCAGCCAATCAATGTTCTCTCTCATCGATGTTTCTATCTCTCTCTCCCTCTCCCTTCCTCCCTCTCTCTAAAAAATCAATAAAAACATACTTTAAAAAATATTCAAATAATAATATAAAATAAATTTTAAAAGTATTTAAATCTTGAGGCTATGCTTTCAATATGAATATGCTGCCTAGAAGTTGAAATCATGTTGTTAATCTTATACAGAACCCCCATCTACAAGCTTATTTTTAACCAAAAACTATGTTCAGAATTTTAAGTGAAGAATACATTTATCTTTATCAGTGGCATCTGTGACTCCATGACTTAAAGATTATACTGCTAAAAAGGCATTTAAGCAGCTCTTGCAAATAGTAATGAGGCTCTACCCTAAGCTGGCAGTAGCAGGAAGAATGCATAGATCTGCTTTGCAGATGGTCCAGTGCTTGGCACATAAGAGGCATCCTATAAGCCCCTGCAGAACCCATTAACTGACAAGATGTAAAAGACATTTAAAAAGAGTGTGAAAGATAATTTTAAGGTTAGGGAGCTAGAAGAAAAGTGGCACCTTTGCCAATTTTAGGGTAAATGGATAGTGTTTGATGTCAATATAACACTCAAAAAGCACCTTAACAATACACATTTTGTTGGAGTGGTCAGAGGCAGAAATGTTACTCTAGGAATCACCTGCATATACGGAGCCTGAAAGCTGATCCTGGAGACTGGGAAAGAACAGAGGATCAAGAGAGAATCCAAGGGGACAAGAAAGAGTTGCTGGGCAGGTAAACAAAGAACCACAAATAAGCAGCAGTCTGAAAAGCAGGTGAGGTCGATTTAGAAGAATTCAGGGTCATTAAAGCCTAGAAATCATTTTAAGTATGAAGTAATCATCACTAGACTTCTCAACTCCTGAGGTCGGAAATGATCTTCTTTTATCTCTGAATACTGTAGAAGTACCTGCCAGAGTATGCACTCAGTAATAATCATGCATCCTTACACTGTGCCAGCCAGGCACTGTTTAAATGCTATTAAAGAGAATTCATATTTCTCAAACAGAAGTCGTTGTTATCATATGCATTTTACATATAAGGAAAGTGAGGCACAGAACAGTTACACAATTTGCCCAAATTCACACAACCTAGAAGAATCTGTGCTGAAAGACAACATAGCTTAAAGCAAATTCAATGAAATACTAGGGGGAAAACCCAAAACTGCAGGACATTAAGTACACCAGTGGTACCCTTCATTTCCCCCCTGCCCACATCCCTTTCTTAGAGAACTTTAAGTATCCAGTCTAAAAAAAATACAAACTGTAATACCCACCTAAGTCTCCTCTCCATCCATTTTCCCGTTCCCATCTTCTCTCAACCTCAGCCAACTGGACTGGAAGTGGGTACCTAACCAATCGAATTCTCTCTTCAGAAATTCAGAATTAAGACACAGAGGTATTTGTTGAGAACCATACTGCAATATCAAAGTGAATCTGGTGTTGGCCCCATGACAAATCAAAGTTTCATGCAGACTAAAGTTATGAGGAAGCAGAAACCAAAAGCTTTAAAGAGAGGGACAATCTGAAAAAAACTGGAACAGACATAACAGAGTAGCAGAGACATAAGACCATGTTTCCCAGAGGAAAACTGGAAGACTAACCCCCTGAAGATTTGCTGGTTCCCAGGACACTGAGCTGAAGTGGACCGCATGCAATAGACTTCAGAGGCAGTCCTCCAATTGTCTGACAAACACCTTTTTTAAGTAAGTTAATTCAAATGGGGTTTTGTTCCTCGAAACCAAATAATCCTCAAGCCATTAAAAGACGTCAGAGAAAAAAACATAAGTAGGCCACTACTATGTGCTTCACAATAACTTTTTGAGGTATGTTAACTCTTTTCAGGACAAGAAAAAAGAGGCTCAGCAATATTAACAGATCTGCCAGATTCCAAAACCCAAACTCTTTATACCTCATTTTTCCTCAAGTAAACATCCTCTCTGTATCGGGCCACTACATCATTTATTTCTTCCCATGAAACATTCTCAGATTAATCCAAAAATGTTAACTTTTCTCCTTTTATCCTGCCAAGTTCTAATCTGTATACAGAGTAGGGCAAAAGTAGGTTTACATTTGTAAGTAGTTTATTCTTGTATTATTATTTATTATTGTAATATTTTCCATGCGAACGACTGTAAACCTACTTTTGCCCCACGATGTATTTCAAATGCTTTAACTTCTAGTAAATATGTTAAAATAAAGTGAACTTTTATATATAAAGATGGCATAATGAGCACATATGTACCTGTTTGGTCTGTTTTTAAACTGATAAAGTATTTTTCTTTCCTTTCCCCATGGCACCAGTTTATACACCCTTAACTCAAGCTGGTATCTTTTCCTAACCTGCCACCACACCTTGTTCCCTCCAAGTGGCTGATTTTATTACTAAAAGGCAGACTTGACAGAAAAAGAACTCAGCTTACTTAAATAATTATCCCACCCAAAGTTACTTCAATTACCTTTCAACAGCAGGACAAAACTAATACTTACCACCTAAAAGCTCAAAACCCTTGCCAAAGACCAGAAAACAAAAAGTTTCTGTTCCTGAATATCAGTTTGCCAATATGGAACGGGAGGGAAATTTTTTAATATAGATGGGTCTCTTTTTCCCATTCTCAAAATGACATTTCTTAAGTTTTTCAAATTTTCTCCAAGTATAGATAGAACTCCACTGACTATAAGTGAAAACTTCGCTAAAAATGAGCAATAATGTATCATCTGACTGGGTTTAATTTCCTTTTCCAGAAGCTAAATTCCTATACAGATAAAACGTACTATCCTTCCAGCCTCTATAGGCAAAGGACTTCTTCAGCTTCTAGACTTATCCAAGGATCTCAGAAGCTAGAGAATTTCTCACTGTGATTCAGGGTCTTTAGACAAGTACCATATCCTCAGCAACTGGGACATATCATTAGTCCTTATCAAGAATGCAATTATGTGGGTACATACACTAATCACTAGTTACCAGTTCAGTTTGGGAACCCATTTGTTCCACTGCCCTGCATTCTTTGATCTCCCATACACTGCTCTGTTACAGCTACAAAGTGAAATGCACGAACAACCCTTGTCTAAGTGTTTCTAGAAGGAACATGATAAGTATGAAAACCAGGGTATTACTTGAAAATGTTAACAATATTTAAAGACTCATTAAATTGCACGATTTTAAATGTCACTAATCATGCAGAGAACTGTGCTTTCATTTACTCTAAAATGGTAAATAAGACGTTAAAACCATCTTTGCATTATCGAGTACCTGTTATTTTCTGAATACTTCCACGCATATCAAAATCAGTATCAATCACTATAACATCCCTAACAAGGTGGGAAGAAACTAAGGAAAGCTTGCATGTTTTGCAAGGGGGCTGAATAATTACAAAGCTGAGAAGAGAACCGGGATTTTTAACTCGCCTTTGCACTAAGGCCATTAGATGTCTCAGCAGTGTTTCTCATCCTGAAATTTCCTTACCATTTTAAGCTAAATCGCCTTCAGTTTAATAAGGCTTTGAGAGGACAGGGAAAGCAGAAGAAAAGGACTGTTACCAAGTCATACCACGGTGGTGGTTTAGATTCTATTCCCATAGTCATTCTGTCAACGTTTTTCATACTTTGGTCATATCTGTTTCTTTATAAAGGAGCTCAGGAGCCTAGAATAATAGACGTATACTCAAGCCATTCGGAATACGGATGGCCAGCATTTACGCCACTAACAGCCTTAGAGAAAATCTGCCAGAAAACAGAAACGCCGGCAGTCTGAGGAGCCGCTTGCCGCCTTCCATCTCGGTCACAGGCTTGGGTTGCGCCTTGTTCCGGGGCTCTAGGGTTCTGACAGTGAAGGATGCTCCTGTTCGGCGACAAAGTGCAATGACCTCCGCCTGCTGCACACTCTCCGGTGCGCGCACCACAAACTAAGCTCACGCCCCATCACGCACCGAGGGAACACGGCCCTGAGCCCACCCTGGGGATGGAAACGGAACTTGTCAGTCGAAGGACTGCAGCTCCGCGCCACTCTGGACCCCAGGAAGGCTCTTCTCCAGCCGCTGGACAACCCCTCCCCCTCGGCCGGTGCCTGGGGCTTCCTTCCTCCGCCCCGCTCCTCCCGCCCTCCTCCCACCGCCCAACGAAAGCGCAGCGCCGAGCAGCCCCGAAGTCAGAGCGAGGACAGCGGGCAGGCGGAGGGCTGGGGCGCCGGAACTGGGCCGCTCCATCCATCGGGCCGCACACCCCGCCGCCACCGGCAGCGCACGCCACGAGCGGACCCGCACTCGGCTCACCTGAGAACCGCAGCCCCCGCAGCTCACAGGCATATCACCAGCCCCAAACGACCGGTCACGAGAGCTGCAGAGCAGGCGGGCACCCCTCCCGCACTGGCCCCCAGCCCTCCCCCCTCCCCGCCCCGTGGCCCGCCCCCGCCCTGCCCACCCGGCTTCCGCAGCCGCAGCTCCAGCCCGCAACACCACCTAACCCCCACGCCTCCCACTCACTCTCGCGAGAGGGTGGCGCGCCTCTCGCGAGAAGAACCCTGTGACCAAGCCCGCGCAAATGTGGGCGGCCTTTTAAAAAAGCAAAAAATAAAAAGGAAAAACCTTCCCACGTGCTCCTCAGCAGCAAGCGGAGCGGGCCTTCGCCTCACGTGACCTGGAGGCGGCCTCTCCATTGGCCAGAATCCGCACAGCCCTGGGAGCTTTAAACTCGAGGCTGACCTACGAACCTGCGGCGAACGTCTTGCGCGCTTCCTGATCCGTTACCTTGGAAACCGTTTAACCCTTTCCTCTGGCAAAATACCGAAGTCTTGGCTTGTTCAGTCGGTTTGGTTTCAGGCCCTGCCTCCTTCCCTTGGACCCCTTGGTCTTACCGCCTGGGGTCAGCTGGACTCCTTCGTCACAAGCTGGCTTTGCTACCTTCTGATTGCGGGGCCCTTTCCAGAGCAGCCGCCCCACCAGCTCTGGCCGCTCAAGCAAGGCTCATCCTTTCGGGGGTGGCTCCGCCCCTTCTCAGCATCTCTAGGGAGGACCACTCACCCGCACAGGGCCGGCAGCCCCATCCGAACCTCAGCAATTAGCATCCAGGAATGCCCGGGCCCTAGCGCTCACGCTGCCGCCTTCGCGCGGTCCGGAATCGGGAAGTAGAAGCACCGGTCACGGAGAAAGCAAGCCCGAAAAGCTAGTGGAGGATTATTTCCACTTAGACTCCGAAGGGCTAGTCCAGTCAAGTTGCAGTCTCCCTAAGGGCATCTGTCCCTCAAGGGTGGAAATACCAGATCGATGAGAAAGACATTTATAAGAGCTCATTAGGAGTTTCGTGCCCTGTTTGGGAGACAGAAATGAAAGAGTGCATTCATATGTGCATTTCTTCAACAAATGTTTGTTGAGCTGCAGGTGTTAGGCATTACTCCGGGCTGTCGGCTGTCGAATGAGCGCGATGAAGACAAGAAAGGCTCGAGTCTAGGGAGCTTACAGGGGAAGGAGAGAGGAAGAAATGAGAAAACAGTGTCTGTTGGTGTTAAGCTCTATACAAAGAGAATACCATAAATGATGTGATAGTGATTCAGGGGTGACCCTTTTGAGGAGGAGACACTTAAATAGTGATTTGTGTAACAAATACCAGAGGAAAGAATATTCCAGGCAAAGTAAACCACTAATTCAAAGGCCCTAAAGTGGGTTTGAGGAGAAAGTAAGAAGAAATAAACTTGGCGAAGTAAACAAACATGGACCAGATCCTGTAGCTTCTGTAAGCCAAGAAAGGAATGGGAAGTTATTCTAAGTACAGAGGAAAGCATTAGAGAATTTTAAATAAGGGAGAGACACTTGTGGTTTACTTCATTATTTTTTGTTATTAATCCTCACCCAAGGATATTTTTTCCATTGATTTTTAGAGAAAGTAGAGGGAAGGAAGGAAGGAAGGAAGGAAGGAAGGAAGGAAGGAAGGAAGGAAGGAAGGAGAGAGCGAGGGAGAGAGAAACATCAAATGTGTCCTTTGGATGCCTCCCGCAATGCCCAGGACAGGAGCTGGGGACTGAACCTGCCATCTAGGTACACTGGGAATCCAAATGAGACCCTTCAGCACACAGGCCAATTCTCTAACTGCTGAGCCACACGGGCCAGGCCCCTATGGTTTACTTTAAAAGAAAGAAAAAAAAATGGTGTTGCTCAGCACTTAGAGTGTTGGCTCCTGAACTGAAGGCTCATGGGTTTAATTCCCAGCCAAGAACACGTATCTGGGTTGCAGGTTCAATCCTGGTCCCAGTCGGGGTCCTGGAGGAAGCAACCAATCTATGTGTCTCTCTTTCCCTCCTTCCCTCCCTTCCACCCTATATTTAAAAATCAATGGCAAAAGATCCTTGGGTGAGGATTAACAGCAACAAAATAATAATAATAAGATTTTCCCGCAGAAAATGGATCTTAAGAAGGCCACAGAGAAAGCAAGGAGATTAGGTGATTTGTAGTCCATATGAGACACAATCCTGAAAGACTTAATGTCCTAGACATTCCTCTTCTAAAATCCATTAAGTCAAAGCCCTAGCCGTTTGCTGCCTTTTGTTAAAAACATCTGGACAAATTTTCAGTTACTGTTATTTAATTATAATAGGAGAAATAAATGGGATTTTGCTGTTATTATTTGGGAAAGCGAATGGCCCGAAAGAAAAGTCACTTTCGATTTCTTTTCACCTCTATTTGCACCACAGGTATAAGCACCTCTTCTATTCAGTGCTAAGAAAAAGCAATATAAAGTGATGTTCAATGAAGATATTTATTCTGAAGTATAAGACTTGAAAAGATAGAGGTTGAAGGCTGGAAAATGAGGATGTTTTACTAAAACAAATCAGGAGAGTTGAGTTCCAACTGGAAAACTTCTCAGTACCTGGTGAGGCATCCAAATCAAGGTACCTTATCATCCTTGAGTCTCAGCTTCCTCATACATAAAACAAGATGCAATTTAACCAGCCCACACCCAATTGGTTAAGCCTGAATTACACTTCAGCATACAGTCAGATGAAAGCCGGAAGGGGAAATGAAATGAATTTTTATAAAAACCTAAGAGTCA